AAAATACGTGGTCACATCTCATAATAGCATGAAATTAGTCTTTAATTCAAAAAAATAAAAAAAAACACAGAAATAATACTTAAAAAAAAGATAATTCCTAAATTAAAATTATACTTTTATTTAAAAGGTTTGTTTGTTGTATCATTTGAAAAAAAAAGTTTCTGTTTTATAACAAGCAATTTCCGGGGAGTACAATTTAAGTTCAAATAGAAAAGAGTAAACGTTTTATAGACTTGTGGAAAAAAAAATCAAAATAGCACACCGGTTACGATTGATAAAGCTATCAAAGTAAACAGTATCTGAGTTTGGTCACAATTTTTTTTTATTTTTTTTGATAATAAATCTATACTATAAGCGAAGTTTGTCTATTATAGTTTTTGGAACTTCGGGGTATAATATATATAATTGGTTATTATATGTCAAGAATATTAATGGATTTTCTGAGAATGACGAGGAAACAAAAATTAATTCTTTTAACAAAACAAGATAAGGAATTTATTTACAAATTGTATGGACATTCTTGAACATTTTTCTGGCTTTTTTGTTTTCGAATGAATGTGGAATTAATATTTATTGTAGCTGTATTGTAAAATTAAATCAACCCATAAATTTTTATTTTAATCAATTGTACCAAACGAACAAAAACAAGAGAAAAAATCAAAAAACCTGTTTTTATAATTATAAACAATATTCATATTTTGTATGAAAATGTATACAAGTTTAATTATTAGGACTAAAAAGGTTTTGATTGATTGTTCAACCCTTGAAGATGAAATATTTTTTCTTGAGCTCATAGAAAGTTGACCTTTTGCCTATCAAAAATGTTTAGTATGAATTCTTGAAAGAATTTTGTCTTGAGAATATGTTGAAAAACATTTACTTTCAGAAGAGTTAAAGAAGTGAATTTTCTTTATTTATGTTTCCAATTATTATTATTTCTGAATTTATTTGTAATGTTCTGTATATGTTATATGGAACACACCTATTCTATAGTTAATAGACTCTCCCACCTATAATAAAGTAGTAGTAGTAGTAGGAGTCGCTGAGGGGTCGAAGTCAGTCGATGTCGGACGACCGTTAGTCGGATACTAAAGTATCAGCGACCACAACTAGATTACTCTGCGTTATACCTATTATATCAAGTTCCTAACGTTTTGTACGTCGAACCTATTTTAGGACCGACTTAGTACAAATACAAGCCTCTACCGTGAAACTGTATTTTTACAACAGTAATATTATGTTTCTGTTATTGTTTTTGTACGTATTTTATGAATTTTGTGTATTGATAAAAAAAGATGTTTTTCGAAATGTCGAAACGCTTTTTCTTAAAGTCCTGCATTGTTGGTAGGCAGGAGAAATTAAGAGAAAGAAAGAAGTTGTCACAGTATTTATAACAAACGTAGTTATGTGATAGGCTCAGAAAGGCATAGACAGATTTTTGGCGGAATTGTATTTTCGTCAGGTCAGGAACTAGGTCGATGTTATTCGGACGTGGTAGAGAACATGATTTTAATATTAACTGACCAATGAGAAGTGAGAAAAATATCAAGGCTCTGTGATCCGCTTTTTGCACAGATTTGCACAAAAATTGACATTGAAAGAAAGTGGTAGCAGTGCTGTAGTATGAAATGATACGAGGCCGAAAAAAGGGGAAGGCTGATCATCACTGTTCTTAACTTTAACAGAACTAGTCACATTTGTTATGATTCATGATGATATTTCATCATTATAGAAATAAAGACCTGAAACTTCATTTATTATAAAAACGACTTTTCCACCATAAGCAAAGGTAGCAGAAGTTAAAAGAACATCACAGACGTATCTTATTCGTTCTGTGAAAATCCAGAGTTGACGGTTTCAAAGTTTAACCATAAAATACTTGGAACAATTATAAACAAGTAATCCTAAAATTTTAAAGAGACACTAACCTTGTGAACATTTAACACACAAAAAACCAATATTGTAAATAACATTGTAGCGGACCCCTCGAGCTATCGTATCGCAAAGGTGATGAGGTCACAAGAGGCCCTCTATAGCATTTTCGAAGACGTTAAATCTGACAAGGTGAAACAACATAGACGACAGAACGAGGGTATATAAGATATGTTTGAATTTATTCTAGAAAAGTAATAAAGAAATAAAGGTGGTCGGAACGGTAGAGATGCAAACGTTCCGGTGCAGGCATTCATGGTCGAGGTTGGTTGTTATGGGTGTGGTCATGCTGGTCGCTGCAGATGATTTGTTGGTCGTTGCAGATGATCGCTGCTGGTCATTGTAGTTTGAGGTTGATGTTGGTCGTTGCCGGGATGCCAACTTGACGTGTTGGGAAGGAAAGAGGAGCTGGTGTTGCGATGTTGTTCGGGCATGTCAAAGGTCCAGTGCAGGCGTTGCGTGTCTGCCCGTCGAGTCCGATATTAGTAACCCCCCGTAATAATTACGAACGTCGTGTACGGGAAAGGTTATGGACGACGTGCAAGCAGCCAGTAGGGACGGAATGCCGGGAGTCGAACAGGGCCAAGGAGCCATGAGTAGTAGGCGAAGGAGAGAGAGAAAGGAAAGTTTCCAACTATCGTCAAGTTAGCAGACAAAAAGAAATGGGAGCGTAACTTAATACACAGCCCGGTGGTCGACGTCCTGGCCACGAAGGCCAGGAGCCTGCGTACCGACCGTTTCAGTCGCCGACCTTAAATTTAGCGAGAAGTCACTGTCTTGTGGTAAGGGAGACTAGCAAGAGAATTGGTAAGCTAACACAGTAAAGTCTATCTATAAAAATGAGTAGAGCTTAGCTAAAAAAAAAACCAAGACCTAAAAATGCCTAGAAGTATATTACAACTAGGTTTGTAACTAAACTGAAAAGGTAACTTGCTAGTCTCTAGCTCGAGTTAACAGCGTGGAGGGAGCACAACCGAAAGGTCAAGGTCTCTTCCGGTTTAAGGAGCCTAGGAGGAGGTAACTCCGACAACATCATGAAAAGAAAAATACACGTTCTTGTCATTAATTTCAACACGTGTCTCAAAGTCTTATTGTTGCTTTTGTTGTATGCTTTATTATTCATTTCATTTTCGGTATAAAAAGAGAAAAGGAATCTCTCTCAACGTTTAATACATGCGTATAATGGGTAACTTCGATTAACAACTGAACATTCGTTTGATTGCATTATTACATCTACTGACCTAATAATGTTTAATAATCCTTAATATGTAATACCACATTTGTACAACCCCCCAAAAAAAAAACATAAACACGTATACATACCACATCGCTTCTCTCCATAAAACACTACTATTTTATTTATTGTAAATTATCATATATTTATTAATAGGTCCAACTATTATTAGAGCTTCATCAGAGAATGAGATATGGAGGAAAAAAAATTCTAATATTTCTACTCTTCATTTGTTAATCCTGTTTCACGTGCATTCAACTTGTTAAACTAATGTTAGTATTTGTGTCGTTCAACTACAATTGTGATACAGTTACAATTTACATGCATAAAGTGATATTTACAGGTTTTCAGTTACAATATTTTTAATTTTTGAAAATCCAAAAAAAAAAAAACAATTCGGTGTGTCGTCTCTCCTTGAATTCAGATCGGATTATAATTCCTCCTCGCAGAAATTCAGAAAGATAGGAAATTGTGGAAGCACGATTAACCAGCTTTTTAAATAGACATCTTACATTTATTTAATTTAAATATTTTCTGATGCAAGGTCTAATTTGCAATGATCGCATTGAAAATGTGTAAAATGTTTTCAATTTATATATATATATATATATATATATATATATATATATATATATATATATATATATATTTAATAGCAGTAGAGTTTTACGTTGCCCGGAGATTTAAAATTAAAGAGATCAAGTATCGACCATCATAAAAGACTGAAGTTTAAAATTGACAAAGATTATTCTTTTTAAGGTTGACGGACATAAATGTTTGTCTTAATGTTTTTTTACAAACGAACGAATTGGTCAAACTCAAAAAACAAAAATTGTTTTCAATCGTTATGAGTCTACCGATTGAGTAGAATTTTATTATAAACAATTGTCTTGTAAATTTAATTTTTAAAGCATTTTTAAATCATTCTGAAAAAAAAATAAAGGAAAAGTGTGCAAGACAATAAGAAACATTACCACCATAAAATAAGTGAAGTGTTTTTGTTGAAATCTGTTGAAAATGTAGGAAATCCGATCCCATATATAAACAAACACACACATACTCAAACAACCTGGGGTTTATAAGGATAACTTTTTTTTTTTTTTTTTTTTATGAATCGCGATGCCTTTAATCGAATGTTTTCAAATTGATTTTTGTGCAAAAACAATTGTTTTTCCAATTTTTTGTGCTGTCAGAACCAATGACAAGGTAATTTTACGTAGTCCTGTGTTTTTTTTTGTTGAAAAACATTCTGAAAATGTAGGATTTTTCCGATCCAATATATAAACTTACAGACAGGATACACACAACCTCATTTTTATAATAAGTATGATATAATAGCAAAGAACTCTTTTTTTTGAGATAAAAAAAAAGATTATATATATAATTTTCCATTTTTTTTTTTAAATTTTCTTTTTTTCAATCAATTTTTTTATATATATATATATATATATATATATATATATATATATATATATATATATATTTATATATATATTAAGAGTAGTCAATTTTTCTTGTCACCTTAGTCTTTTAAAAATATCCATATTCTTCTCTTAAATTGTATCACATTTGTTGAATGATCAATATATTTATATCTCATTACTGTTTTGCAAAGTTATTTTTATTTACCCTTATTTTTTCTGTGTTGTTAAAAAGATTCTTTATATTTCTTTTATCACTGTTTTTTTAAAAAATGTTTATCCCCCTCAAAATTTCCAGTTATATGTTCTTTCTATTTATCTACATAATATCTGTTTCTCCTGATTTCTGACTCTATCATGCTAAAACACTGGCTCTCCTGTGCTCACCAGAGTTAAGCAGCATAGAGCTTATGGTGACATCACGGTGAAACACTGGTTCCCATACAATCTAGTTAAGCAACGTTGAGCCTTGTCAGTACCTAGATGGGTGACCTCTTTGGAATACTAGGTGCTGTAAAATGGAAAAATGGGGGTGTAATTGATAACTGCTTAAAAATAAGAAATTAGAAAGCCTAGTTTGAATTCTAGCTTTCGTTGCATTCACTTACACACAAATACTTGGAAAAGATATGAAACCACCTCTTCTCCTCCAAATATGGGTTAAATAGTAGGACTTGTATCAGAAAATCTCCTCGAAATCATTAAAATCCCAAAATATTCTCCGTCTTTAAATAACTTGCAAAGGGTTGATAATCCGTAAAAAACTAAAACAAATCCATTAAATCAAGTACTGTTTTCTCTTTCCTGATATCCGTTCTGAAGATTTAGGGTGTACTGAAGGCAGCTTCAAGCTAGAAAAAAATTAGAAATTCTACCATACTAACGAGCCATGTATGGAAATTAAAAGTAAAACATAAAGATCCCAATTTAAAAAAAAAAGAAGCTAAAATTTACAACAATTATAGTGATATCTGTAATATTTGTCATGAAGAAAAGTTAACAATATCAACATTTCCAGACTTTTAGTGAAATAGATACCTCGAAAAAGAGTTCGTGTTTTGTATGTGATCTGCCAAAGAAAAATTACCAAAAAGTAGTTAGCAAAAATCTACTTAAAGGACCAGAATCTATGCTAATGTTCTTCCCTCCCCTGAATGGCGTGACCAATCAGAAAGTTTGTGAACAAAATCCGTTGTTTTTCGCTGATGTGAGAGATTGGACAGTCTTTAGCAAAAGTGGGGTGACTGAGGCGAGATTGGTTCGTTTGAACGGGGCTAGCCTTGATTTTCTCTTTTCGGTCAACCTACGTCACATCGGGGTGGTTTCCTGTGGAGCCCACTCTTTGGTTAGGTTAGACAAGCTTTGTGTACCTAGTTAATGTGAATAATGTTCTTCCTGGCCTGTTTCCGGCTGCATCTTTGGTTATGATCCAAGTTGAGATTCTCAACCTCCCAGTTTAAATTTTTGGTCCCACTTTTCATCTAAAAGGATTTTAGAAATAGATATTTTTTATTTTTCCCATGTTCGTATCTATATTTTCATTTTCCCACTCCTTAGCGAGAGAGAGCCTCTTGATTTTGTCCAATGGGCAGAATACAGCAGCCTCTCCCTTTTTTTAGGGTTGGACGGGCCCTACTATCAGTTATGTTGAATTTACTTTGTGTTGATATTTGATTATTGGGTTCATCCCCACCTCTCCTCTCATATTTAATCATCCATATAATTGTATATATGTATTTTATTATCCTTAAATTTTAATATCATGGGATGCTTTTTCTGTAGGTCCCCCTGAGAGGATGCGGTATTATGGTGTATGGAGGATTGATTGGTGACGGGCGAGTTTTTATAGTGAATACGAAAATTGTAATGAGGGAATGGGTGGTGAGTCGGATTAGGCAGGTATAAGATAGTGATGACCAACCTCAACCCCCCACCTTTTTCGGCCTTGTGCCATGATTGTGTATTTTTACCTAATAAATATCGTGAGAGATTGGATTTTCTGAGCTTGGTAAACGAACACGTGTTTTTGATGGTGAGAAGTGAAGGTTGAATTTGTGACCCCATTTTGTCGTTTTAACGTTGCCTGTTGGACTGTTACGACGGACTATCGTCTGAACTGTGATTTGGCTACAAGTGCTGCGGTCGAGAGACAGAAGAAATCTATTGCAGACGTTTATAAGTTGACAGTTTCTTTTTTTTTTTCTTTACAACTACAAGCTAGAAAGGAATTAGAAATGTTACCAGACTAACCAGTCATGTGTGAAAATTAAAAGTAAAAAACAAGGATCCGATTAAAAAAAAAAGCTAAACCTTACAACAATGATAGTAATAGATGTAACATTTGCCATGAAGAAAAGTTGACAATATGAACATTTCCAGACTTCTGAATAAGACACAAAAAAGTTCCTTTTGCGTTCGTATGAACTAGGATGAAAGTAGTGATTTTCCAAGCGTAGCTTAGATGTGGCACAAGGCTGAAAGTATGTACTCAGTCGGAATTGTTCTAGCGAGTCAAGCCCCGAACTAGGATGAAAGTATGTATATTTCATATAACTCCCATTCTGGTACAGTTTCAGTGCCCTTGCTTTTCTCTTTCCTTTCTATTACGCTTCACATTGTGCATTTTCTTTATTTTTTAAATAATAAAGCGTAAGAAAATTATTTACCTGGGATTACCTGAAGATACTGAAAGGTTGAAACCAAGGTAGCGTGATCGGCTGATCTCCTAATTTTTTTTAAATTCAAAAGCTTTGCATATTAGATTTGTCTTTTCTTTATACATGTAATTACGTACATTTTAATACTGTTTCCTGGTCTAATTCAACTCTGACCAATAAATTATATATGGTGTACTCTTCCGGCGTATTCGAATAATGAGGGTCAAGCAGCTCAGTTCCTAGGAACCGACAGCCAGACACCAGCACATATGATAGTGATGAACGTTTTGTGCAGAACCAACCACACTTTTTTAGGGGCCGAATACTTTTGGGGTGGCTCGGTGGAGTAGTGGATAGTAAATTTGATTGAGGAATCGGAGATTTATATGAGTTCAAATTCCACCGAATTTTTACAGTCACTTACATGCTAATATCCTTGGGAAAGGTATTAATCCTCTTCTCCTTCCAGGCATGGGTAAATAGGACAGATTGGGTTCTAAAACCTTGGATGACAACTGGTCTAGGATTCTGAATTCAAAACCTGCGGAGGGTCGTTTAAAAAACCTTGACACAACATAGTGCACCAGATCTCTGTATTCGGCTCTTCAAAAAGTGTGTGTGTGTATAATATATATATATATATATATATATATATATATATATATATATATATAATGATGAAAAAATTATCAGTTAACCTGTAGAAAAAGACTATTTATAAATGTGAAAGACAATAGGAAAACTGTAATATTAGCCGACGCGTTTCGTCCAATGTGAACTTTTTCAAGGCAAAAACGAAATGAATTTATTAAACAAAGTAACTAATAATAACAAAACAAAATGTCCTTAGCAACTGGAAGAATTTAGAGAACGCTATTTTCATATTGTAAACCGAAAATTATGTCAAGTACTGTTACGTGTGGGGATATTGTTTTTATTGTTGTGTTGACGGATTCAACCATTTTCTTTTGATTTCTTGATACTGTTCTCTATGTTTGTTTGGGAGAGATGTAATTCTGTTAAGAAAGGTGAAATAGAGATAAAGACTGGGCGTAGATTAATATTTGGATAATATTCAATGGTGGCACTCTCGACGATTTTCCTTCTGAGTAAGTCATTTTCTTTTTTATGAGTGCAGCATTTCTAAAATCAAAATTGTTGTTGAATTTATTTCTATGTATGACTAGTGCATTAGTTAAGTTGTTTTTTGTGAAGTCTCTTTTGTGCTCATAAATGCGCTTTTTTTAAAAAAAATTCTACTTGTTTCTAATATATATATATATATATATATATATATATATATATATATATTTGGAGAGAGATCAATAAGTAAGGTTCAGCCTTAAAAGTATGAACAGGAGAAAATCTGCTCATGCTTGAATCAATCAGCCTGTGAACAGAGGTAAGGTTGTTGAATCAAGGTAAATTGAATTAATTTACGCCAAATGTGTGCTATCTTTTGCATGAGTCTTGCAGGATTGATATGCACAAGCATAAATAGCACACTGTATAAAAATAAAAATCAGTCTTCAACCCTTTGTGTCCATAATCAAAAAATAAGTCAATAGTTAAACAAAGTAATATCAAAATAGATACTGGGAGACCTTGACTCAGATGAGCCTGTCATTTTAGAAGAAATTCTGATTGTATGTTAAAATTTTTCAAAGTCTACAGTCAGGTTCTTGATGGTAACCTGAAACAGGAGTCCTGTTCTTTTGGAACAGATTGAGATAGAGGGAAACAAAGCCCCATGTAAGCACCTCTAAAATCCTGATGCCCCCACCATGTAACATAGCGAATTTCTAAGGCCGAAAGTGTGGGGCACCCAGTGAGGATCGAACTCGCTATTCATTCGTAATTGTTATAGCGAGACAAAGCTTGCTTACCATTACACCGCCTCGAGGTGCCCCCCACCATGTGACATATAATTCTTATTATTCAAAATGTGAACTCCTTTTCACGTGGAGGAAGCCGAAAAGGCCATTAACTTGTTATATACTTGGCAAACACGGTGGATAAATAGATAAAAGGTTTAGTGTAAAAACCAGTACAACAAGAAAGGAAGTAACAGTTATGCGTACGGTCGTCGCAAGTCAATACAGTCGTGAGTGCTGCGATTGGAAGGTCGGTAGTTCACGCGTAAGTCGTACTCACAGATCCCAGCTAGACTCCTCCTGCTGTCCGTTGCCTTAATGGATACTTATAGGTGGTTACTACCTATAGTGTTGTTACTGATGGGGGTGACAGGTTATTCCATTACATCACTTATTATCATTTAACTGTCTCTATTTCAGAGATGAGGTCTTGTAATTATTTACACTACAGAGCAACCTTGGTTCTCGAACGTCTCACATGTCGAACAAATCAAATATTCGAGATGAAAATGCCTCGGTTATCGAACAAAATTTTGGTTCTCGAACAACATTGCCGAACCGAGTTAACCCGAACGAAATCATTTTTGAGCCGACCGCCATCTTGTATACATTTGTGTATTGTGCTGTGTTTTTCTTTTCCAATTTTATTATACTGTGCCTATTTTTTCCCCCTTTTTTTTTTTCAAAGAAAAAGTTAAGAGAAAAACAATTGTTGATGATATTGTCTCTTCTTACTCAGTTTCATATGGCAAAATCAATTCTATACGATTCTTATAAATAAAGAGACGATAATGTCTTTCTTTCCCCTTTGTCCTCATCTCTGTTGCCGTATTCAGTGGATGAAAACATTGGTTAAATCCAATAATTTGACTCAAAGACTTTGTGAGTTCAATATCTGACTACAGCTGAACAAAAACTTCAAGAGTTAAGTTACTAAAGGGAGATAACCGATACTGAAACATCCGGCAGTTTTATAGAACTTCCG